TGATTCTCTCCCTACAGAAACACAGTCTGATTCTCTCTCTACAGAAACACAGTCTGATTCTCTCCCTACAGAAACACAGTCTGATTCTCTCCCTACAGAAACACAGTCTGATTCTCTCCCTACAGAAACACAGTCTGATTCTCTCTCTACAGAAACACAGTCTGATTCTCTCCCTACAGAAACACAGTCTGATTCTCTCCCTACAGAAACACAGTCTGATTCTCTCCCAACAGAAACACAGTCTGATTCTCTCCCAACAGAAACACAGTCTGATTCTCTCTCTACAGAAACACAGTCTGATTCTCTCTCTACAGAAACACAGTCTGATTCTCTCTCTACAGAAACACAGTCTGATTCGCTCTCAACAGAAACACAGTCTGATTCTCTCCCTACAGACACACAGTCTGATTCTCTCCCTACAGAAACACAGTCTGATTCTCTCCCTACAGAAACACAGTCTGATTCTCTCCCTACAGAAACACAGTCTGATTCTCTCCCAACAGAAACACAGTCTGATTCTCTCCCAACAGAAACACAGTCTGATTCTCTCTCTACAGAAACACAGTCTGATTCTCTCCCTACAGAAACACAGTCTGATTCTCTCCTCTACAGAAACACAGTCTGATTCTCTCTCTACAGAAACACAGTCTGATTCTCTCTCTACAGAAACACAGTCTGATTCTCTCTCTACAGAAACACAGTCTGATTCTCTCCCAACAGAAACACAGTCTGATTCTCTCTCTACAGAAACACAGTCTGATTCTCTCTCTACAGAAACACAGTCTGATTCTCTCTCTACAGAAACACAGTCTGATTCTCTCTCTACAGAAACACAGTCTGATTCTCTCCCTACAGAAACACAGTCTGATTCTCTCCCTACAGAAACACAGTCTGATTCTCTCCCTACAGAAACACAGTCTGATTCTCTCCCTACAGAAACACAGTCTGATTCTCTCCCTACAGAAACACAGTCTGATTCTCTCCCTACAGAAACACAGTCTGATTCTCTCCCTACAGAAACACAGTCTGATTCTCTCCCTACAGAAACACAGTCTGATTCTCTCCCTACAGAAACACAGTCTGATTCTCTCTCTACAGAAACACAGTCTGATTCTCTCTCTACAGAAACACAGTCTGATTCTCTCTCAACAGAAACACAGTCTGATTCTCTCTCTACAGAAACACAGTCTGATTCTCTCTCTACAGAAACACAGTCTGATTCTCTCCCTACAGAAACACAGTCTGATTCTCTCCCAACAGAAACACAGTCTGATTCTCTCCCAACAGAAACACAGTCTGATTATCTCCCTACAGAAACACAGTCTGATTCTCTCCCAACAGAAACACAGTCTGATTCTCTCCCTACAGAAACACAGTCTGATTCTCTCCCTACAGAAACACAGTCTGATTCTCTCTCTACAGAAACACAGTCTGATTCTCTCCCTACAGAAACACAGTCTGATTCTCTCTCTACAGAAACACAGTCTGATTATCTCCCAACAGAAACACAGTCTGATTCTCTCTCTACAGAAACACAGTCTGATTCTCTCCCTACAGAAACACAGTCTGATTCTCTCCCTACAGAAACACAGTCTGATTCTCTCCCTACAGAAACACAGTCTGATTCTCTCCCTACAGAAACACAGTCTGATTCTCTCCCAACAGAAACACAGTCTGATTCTCTCCCTACAGAAACACAGTCTGATTCTCTCTCTACAGAAACACAGTCTGATTCTCTCTCTACAGAAACACAGTCTGATTCTCTCCCTACAGAAACACAGTCTGATTCTCTCTCTACAGAAACACAGTCTGATTCTCTCTCTACAGAAACACAGTCTGATTCTCTCCCTACAGAAACACAGTCTGATTCTCTCTCAACAGAAACACAGTCTGATTCTCTCTCTACAGAAAACACAGTCTGATTCTCTCTCAACAGAAACACAGTCTGATTCTCTCTCTACAGAAACACAGTCTGATTCTCTCTCTACAGAAACACAGTCTGATTCTCTCCCTACAGAAACACAGTCTGATTCTCTCCCTACAGAAACACAGTCTGATTCTCTCCCTACAGAAACACAGTCTGATTCTCTCCCTACAGAAACACAGTCTGATTCTCTCTCTACAGAAACACAGTCTGATTCTCTCCCTACAGAAACACAGTCTGATTCTCTCCCAACAGAAACACAGTCTGATTCTCTCCCAACAGAAACACAGTCTGATTCTCTCTCTACAGAAACACAGTCTGATTCTCTCTCTACAGAAACACAGTCTGATTCTCTCTCTACAGAAACACAGTCTGATTCGCTCTCAACAGAAACACAGTCTGATTCTCTCCCTACAGAAACACAGTCTGATTCTCTCTCTACAGAAACACAGTCTGATTCTCTCCCTACAGAAACACAGTCTGATTCTCTCTCTACAGAAACACAGTCTGATTCTCTCTCTACAGAAACACAGTCTGATTCTCTCCCTACAGAAACACAGTCTGATTCTCTCTCAACAGAAACACAGTCTGATTCTCTCTCTACAGAAACACAGTCTGATTCTCTCTCTACAGAAACACAGTCTGATTCTCTCTCTACAGAAACACAGTCTGATTCTCTCCCTACAGAAACACAGTCTGATTCTCTCTCTACAGAAACACAGTCTGATTCTCTCCCTACAGAAACACAGTCTGATTCTCTCCCTACAGAAACACAGTCTGATTCTCTCCCTACAGAAACACAGTCTGATTCTCTCTCTACAGAAACACAGTCTGATTCTCTCCCTACAGAAACACAGTCTGATTCTCTCCCTACAGAAACACAGTCTGATTCTCTCCCAACAGAAACACAGTCTGATTCTCTCCCAACAGAAACACAGTCTGATTCTCTCTCTACAGAAACACAGTCTGATTCTCTCTCTACAGAAACACAGTCTGATTCTCTCTCTACAGAAACACAGTCTGATTCTCTCTCAACAGAAACACAGTCTGATTCTCTCCCTACAGACACACAGTCTGATTCTCTCCCTACAGAAACACAGTCTGATTCTCTCCCTACAGAAACACAGTCTGATTCTCTCCCTACAGAAACACAGTCTGATTCTCTCCCAACAGAAACACAGTCTGATTCTCTCCCAACAGAAACACAGTCTGATTCTCTCTCTACAGAAACACAGTCTGATTCTCTCCCTACAGAAACACAGTCTGATTCTCTCTCTACAGAAACACAGTCTGATTCTCTCTCTACAGAAACACAGTCTGATTCTCTCTCTACAGAAACACAGTCTGATTCTCTCTCTACAGAAACACAGTCTGATTCTCTCCCAACAGAAACACAGTCTGATTCTCTCTCTACAGAAACACAGTCTGATTCTCTCTCTACAGAAACACAGTCTGATTCTCTCTCTACAGAAACACAGTCTGATTCTCTCTCTACAGAAACACAGTCTGATTCTCTCCCTACAGAAACACAGTCTGATTCTCTCCCTACAGAAACACAGTCTGATTCTCTCCCTACAGAAACACAGTCTGATTCTCTCCCTACAGAAACACAGTCTGATTCTCTCCCTACAGAAACACAGTCTGATTCTCTCCCTACAGAAACACAGTCTGATTCTCTCCCTACAGAAACACAGTCTGATTCTCTCCCTACAGAAACACAGTCTGATTCTCTCCCTACAGAAACACAGTCTGATTCTCTCCCTACAGAAACACAGTACAGAAACACAGTCTGATTCTCTCTCTACAGAAACACAGTCTGATTCTCTCTCAACAGAAACACAGTCTGATTCTCTCTCTACAGAAACACAGTCTGATTCTCTCTCCTACAGAAACACAGTCTGATTCTCTCCCTACAGAAACACAGTCTGATTCTCTCCCTAACAGAAACACAGTCTGATTCTCTCCCTACAGAAACACAGTCTGATTCTCTCCCTACAGAAACACAGTCTGATTCTCTCCCAACAGAAACACAGTCTGATTATCTCCCTACAGAAACACAGTCTGATTCTCTCTCTACAGAAACACAGTCTGATTCTCTCTCTACAGAAACACAGTCTGATTCTCTCTCTACAGAAACACAGTCTGATTCTCTCTCTACAGAAACACAGTCTGATTCTCTCCCAACAGAAACACAGTCTGATTCTCTCTCTACAGAAACACAGTCTGATTCTCTCTCTACAGAAACACAGTCTGATTCTCTCTCTACAGAAACACAGTCTGATTCTCTCCCTACAGAAACACAGTCTGATTCTCTCTCTACAGAAACACAGTCTGATTCTCTCTCTACAGAAACACAGTCTGATTCTCTCTCAACAGAAACACAGTCTGATTCTCTCTCTACAGAAACACAGTCTGATTCTCTCTCTACAGAAACACAGTCTGATTCTCTCCCTACAGAAACACAGTCTGATTCTCTCCCTACAGAAACACAGTCTGATTCTCTCCCTACAGAAACACAGTCTGATTCTCTCCCTACAGAAACACAGTCTGATTCTCTCTCTACAGAAACACAGTCTGATTCTCTCCCTACAGAAACACAGTCTGATTCTCTCCCAACAGAAACACAGTCTGATTCTCTCCCAACAGAAACACAGTCTGATTCTCTCTCTACAGAAACACAGTCTGATTCTCTCTCTACAGAAAACACAGTCTGATTCTCTCTCTACAGAAACACAGTCTGATTCTCTCCCTACAGAAACACAGTCTGATTCTCTCCCTACAGAAACACAGTCTGATTCTCTCTCTACAGAAACACAGTCTGATTCTCTCCCTACAGAAACACAGTCTGATTCTCTCTCTACAGAAACACAGTCTGATTCTCTCAACAGAAACACAGTCTAATGTTTGACTATATTGTCTTCACTGACTCACTGTCACTTTTTTAATAACAATACCTTGCTATCTTATTCCCTTTAGTGTCATACCTCCTTATCTTTGATGTTGTTATCTTTAATGTTGTTGTAAAGCATGATCTCTTTTTATATTGAAGCTTATTCAGTCTCTGTTCTTCCTGCAGAAAAAGGATCTGAAAACTGAACCTCGTGCACAGCCTCAGGGTCTCTCTCTGCCAATCCATGAGAAGATATCAGTCCAGGTGTGTGTGTGTGTGTGTGTGTGTGTGTGTGTGTGTGTGTGTGTGTGTGTGCGCGTGCGTGCGTGTGTGTGTGGGTCTGTGTGTGTGTGCGCGCGCGTGTGTGCGCGCGTGTGTGTGTGTGTGTGTGTGCGTGTGTGTGTGTGTGTGTTTGTGTGTGTGTGTGTGTGTGTGTGTGTGTGTGTGTGACATAAGAGGAACAGGTATCTCTCCATGGTCTTCAAAGCGGGACTGTTCCCTGTTGCATAAACTCACTCAGAACAACATGCTGCATGAGTTGTTGATGGCCCATTGCTCTGTTTCTCACGGCAACCTGTGATGTTTACAACCACACAGTTAAGAAAGTGTGTCAGTGGGGGGGAGGGGGGGAGGGGGGGGAATCACCACAATGAGTTGATAAAGGACAATGTAGACAATGGACACAACTTAGACAAAAGACAGGATCTCTTCAAGGCCCAGTGGCCTAATGGATAAGGCATCAGCCTCCGAAGCTGGGGATTGTGGGTTCAAGTCCCACCTGGGTCGGGAACCAATACTTTGCATCTTTGAAGAACTACAAATCACATATATCTTCTGCAAAATGGCAATATTCAATCCTGAAAGTGAACACTAATTTTCTCCAGAAAAACAGATATATCGAGACCCCCAATTATCTCCAATTCTTTACTCTCTGTTTCCATGTGTTTTGTGTCTGTTGATGTGTTTTGTGTCTGTTGATGTGTTTTGTGTGTGTTGATGTGTTTTGTGTCTGTTGATGTGTTTTGTGTCTGTTGATGTGTTTCTGGTGACTCTGAATATATTCTCTCACAGGAAAAACTAAGGGAGGAGAGAAAGAGAGAATACAACCTCTTCCTCCAGGAAAAAGCTCAAACTGGGAGATTGAGGAGGGGAACACCTCCTGCCAAGGTAATGGGAACTCTGGTTGGTGGGACAGTAAATAAAAACACGGTGATAATTCTAATTTTTGCACTTTCACTTCGGTCTTTTTTCTTTCAGCCTGAACAGGTTCCAGCTTCAGATGCTGTTTACAACATCATCAACACCCTCAAAAACACACACTCTCCTCCTACCGTCAACACATGTACAAACACACACACACACTCTCCTCCTACTACTATCAACACCCGTACAAACACACGCCCTCGTACACACACACACCCTCGTACACACACACACCCTCGTACACACACACACCCTCGTACACACACACACTCTCCTCCCACCATCAACACACTCACAAACACACACCCTCCGTCCAGGAGAGACGCCGCCACCCTGACGGAGGACGGGGAAAAAGATGGAGAAAGTGCCACGAGTCGAGGAAGGAGACGTTGGAGAGTCCAGAGACCGAAGAAGCCTCTCTACCTGTACAGCTCTGAGGAGGAAGAAGCCATCACTGAGCTGGAGGTGGAGCTGGAGGAGAGAAGGAGGAAACACAGAGCCAACAGGTGAAGGTTTAATACATCTAATCCTCAGAGAATGATGGTGAGACGATGAGATGATGATTTCTCTACTCCTGCTTTATGTCAGAGCTCCTCTGGAGATAAAGGAGGTGAAGGACCCTGATGTTAAAGACCACAACAACAATGACTGGCGCTGGATGTCAGAGTAAGAAAAATACACTTTATTATTATTATTTAGCCAATAATCTCCTCCTCTAGAGTCACGTACATCTTCTCAGTCAATAGATGCTGTGATGGAGAGACAGCACAGTGGGACACACAGCTACAGGTCACTGTGATGGAGAGACAGCACAGTGACACACAGCTACAGGTCACTGTGATGGAGAGCCAGCACAGTGACACACAGCTACAGGTCACTGTGATGGAGAGCCAGCACAGTGACACACACAGCTACAGGTCACTGTGATGGAGAGACAGCACAGTGGGACACACAGCTACAGGTCACTGTGATGGAGAGACAGCACAGTGGGACACACAGCTACAGGTCACTGTGATGGAGAGACAGCACAGTGGGACACACAGCTACAGGTCACTGTGATGGAGAGCCAGCACAGTGGGACACACAGCTACAGGTCACTGTGATGGAGAGCCAGCACAGTGGGACACAGCTACAGGTCACTGTGATGGAGAGCCAGCACAGTGGGACACACAGCTACAGGTCACTGTGATGGAGAGACAGCACAGTGGGACACACAGCTACAGGTCACTGTGATGGAGAGCCAGCACAGTGACACACAGCTACAGGTCACTGTGATGGAGAGACAGCACAGTGGGACACACAGCTACAGGTCACTGTGATGGAGAGACAGCACAGTGACACACACAGCTACAGGTCACTGTGATGGAGAGACAGCACAGTGGGACACACAGCTACAGGTCACTGTGATGGAGAGACAGCACAGTGACACACAGCTACAGGTCACTGTGATGGAGAGCCAGCACAGTGACACACAGCTACAGGTCACTGTGATGGAGAGACAGCACAGTGGGACACACAGCTACAGGTCACTGTGATGGAGAGCCAGCACAGTGGGACACACAGCTACAGGTTACTGTGATGGAGAGCCAGCACAGTGGGACACACAGCTACAGGTCACTGTGATGGAGAGCCAGCACAGTGGGACACACAGCTACAGGTCACTGTGATGGAGAGCCAGCACAGTGGGACACACAGCTACAGGTCACTGTGATGGAGAGCCAGCACAGTGGGACACACAGCTACAGGTCACTGTGATGGAGAGCCAGCACAGTGGGACACACAGCTACAGGTCACTGCTGATGCACTGACTATATTATGTCAATAAGTCAAAGTAAGCTGGTTACATTTGGGACGGTGATAGGAGAGGCCCCTTGGCTCGCCTCCAGGCTGGAGCTGATTGATTACAGAACGAGGCTTCACTGTATGATGTAAAGTGGAAGATGGGTGTGTTCCAGTCATGAAGCTGTTGTTCTGTGTGTCTGTTAGTCTGCAGAAGTCATGAAGCTGTTGGTCTGTGTGTCTGTTAGTCTGCAGAAGTCATGAAGCTGTTGGTCTGTGTGTCTGTTAGTCTGCAGAAGTCATGAAGCTGTTGTTCTGTGTGTCTGTTAGTCTGCAGAAGTCATGAAGCTGTTGTTCTGTGTCTGTTAGTCTGCAGAAGTCATGAAGCTGTTGTTCTGTGTGTCTGTTAGTCTGCAGAAGTCATGAAGCTGTTGTTCTGTGTCTGTTAGTCTGCAGAAGTCATGAAGCTGTTGTTCTGTGTGTCTCTTAGTCTGCAGAAGTCATGAAGCTGTTGGTCTGTGTGTCTGTTAGTCTGCAGAAGTCATGAAGCTGTTGTTCTGTGTCTGTTAGTCTGCAGAAGTCATGACGCTGTTGTTCTGTGTGTCTGTTAGTCTGCAGAAGTCATGAAGCTGTTGTTCTGTGTGTCTGTTAGTCTGCAGAAGTCATGAAGCTGTTGTTCTCTGTGTCTGTTAGTCTGCAGAAGTCATGAAGCTGTTGTTCTGTGTGTCTGTTAGTCTGCAGAAGTCATGAAGCTGTTGTTCTCTGTGTCTGTTAGTCTGCAGAAGTCATGAAGCTGTTGTTCTCTGTGTCTGTTAGTCTGCAGAAGTCATGAAGCTGTTGTTCTGTGTGTCTGTTAGTCTGTAGAAGTCATGAAGCTGTTGTTCTCTGTGTCTGTTAGTCTGCAGAAGTCATGAAGCTGTTGTTCTCTGTGTCTGTTAGTCTGCAGAAGTCATGAAGCTGTTGTTCTGTGTGTCTGTTAGTCTGCAGAAGTCATGAAGCTGTTGTTCTCTGTGTCTGTTAGTCTGCAGAAGTCATGAAGCTGTTGTTCTGTGTGTCTGTTAGTCTGCAGAAGTCATGAAGCTGTTGTTCTCTGTGTCTGTTAGTCTGCAGAAGTCATGAAGCTGTTGTTCTGTGTGTCTGTTAGTCTGCAGAAGTCATGAAGCTGTTGTTCTCTGTGTCTGTTAGTCTGCAGAGTCATGAAGCTGTTGTTCTGTGTGTCTGTTAGTCTGCAGAAGTCATGAAGCTGTTGTTCTGTGTGTCTGTTAGTCTGCAGAAGTCATGAAGCTGTTGTTCTCTGTGTCTGTTAGTCTGCAGAAGTCATGAAGCTGTTGTTCTGTGTGTCTGTTAGTCTGCAGAAGTCAGACATCATGAGGACGGCTGCAGCAGATTCTCCTTCCTCCATCAGCGACAAAGCTCAGGTCGTTACTGGACTCCTGATTGGTAAATATCATCCTTCATGCCTGGTATTGATGGTATGAAAGCACTTGTTTACGTTTCTGTGTCTCAGGAGCAGCAGACGAACAGACGACCTCTCAGGCGAAGAAAGAAAAGTACAAACAGGAGCTTCTGGAGCAGATGGCTGAACAGAAGAGGAACAAGAACCTGTGAGTGTTTATCACTCAGTCGTTTCTTTAAGGTGGTTTCAGATGGCTAAAACACCTTTGTTTTCAGGGAGAAGAAACTCAGAGGTGCTGCCACAGACCCTGGGAAACAGGTAGAGACCAATCAAACTGTCTCTAAGGTTTCTGCTGTTATTATGATCTGTATTTACAATCTCCTCTTCCAGCCTGACCACGTTCAGCGGGAACATGTCAGCCGCAGACGGGATGTCCGATACAAGCCAAGAGAGGAAGAGTCAGAGTACAGAGGAAGGTCTCATCATGACCCCAGTGCTCAGGTTTTTAATCACCACCTCGGAGACGTGTCCAACCCGAGGTAGCTTCCTGTCTCTGTGTGTTTCTGAGCCATGAACATCTACTCGTCTGTGAACTCACTGTAGTTTCTCTGATTGGGTTTCAGGGTTCCTCGTGTTCCTCGTGTTCCTCCTCCTCTTCCTCCCTCCTTTACGGATCATCACAGGACTCCACATGATGCAGAGTATCACTGCTATGGAGCCAACGATCCACTACATCCTCCTCACAATTACAGAACAGAGACTGAACATTTCCACAGTCCTCCTCCTGAGAGACATCCTCCTCTCAGACCCAGCCGACACACACAGTCCGAGTCCAGGTTGGTTTATAAAAGCAGAAGACACATTCAGCGGTTCCTCATGAAGTCTCCTCAGCAGGGAGTGTTTATCTTTGGTGTGCTCCATGCTATCACCTCGTCACATCTGCACTAAAGTCTGTGCTGTAGCAACTTCAAATCAGCTGTTTTTCTGTCTAGAGAAAATGATGAGTTACGCAAATATCGATATAAAGTCTTTTAAGATCTTTTATTTTATTGCTTGCAAGCATGACGACTCCTTCTGAGTGTGACAGACTGTCTTATAAGGAAACATCACAGATAATTTACATGACAACATGTGGTCCAGGTGGATCACAAAGAACAGTTGGGTGTTCAGATCCCCCCCTCGAGCTAATCTCTTCCTGTAGAGTCATACATCCCAACACATCTGTTCTCACACATTGATAAGCCATTCCCAGGATACAGCAGATGTCAGGAGTACACTGGATTAAGCTTTAATACCATCATTGCCATAACATTTGCAACCACTCTTCTTTTTAACCCTGAATCACTGAGAGCTTTAACACCAGTCATGATACTTATTCTAGATCCAGGAGAAGACCCTCACTTTAAAACAACCATCAGTGCTTCCTCACGTCACATCTTTCAGATATAAAGCAGTCATCAACTCTCACTGTTTGTACAAATGTCCATATATTTAACCTGAAAAACGACTCATATCTGTGTTTAATCTGCGTTTCCACTACACGGCCTCGCTCGGTACGGCTAGGCCTCGTTAGGACTGGCTCACTTTATGGCGCATTTCCATTACAGTTTAGGAACTGGGGTAGTTACTATAGTAACGCAGTGTAGGCGGAGCCGTGACGTCATCTTCAATGAGAACTCCAGAAAAACAACACAGCCGTTAGCTGTTAGCACTCAGAGCTCACAGCTCCTCATATCTGTTCAGAAACTAGACAAAAGTGAAACAAGTACAAACCACAGACTGTCTGTGTCATGGTGAGTACAGTCGCTGCTTTATTTATGTCTGTATAGGCCGTTGTTGTGAGTGTGGACGGTCGAAGCATATACTGCGTTAGCTTAGCCAATCTCCATTTAGAAAACATGCATTTTAAAAGGTGTTTCTCTGCCGTCTGTCTGCAGACTTGTCAAAGCATTAATTCATGGTTTTTACTAACCGGTATCAGTATGTTGTTACTTCATCATTTTGAAACGTGTATTACAATTAAATCACGGTCAAATATGTCCATCTTGTTGTAGTTGTAGCCCCCTTGCCAGCGATGCTCTCTCTAGTTTAGCATACTCAGCCCGACTCAGCCTCGTTGTCTCTGGCCCTAGACCCACGATTTTATGAGGCCAGAAAAACTGTGAATTAGGACCCGCCGGCCGGTACTAGGCCAAGTGGAAACGCAACCAAAGACGGGCCGCTGACGTCACAGCTCTCTTAAACGGGGCTCCGCGCTGTAGTGGAAACGCACACTACACAGCTAGCTCTACAGCTGTTGGCAAACAAGCAATGCTAGTTCGTAGCCAAGCAAGCGAGGCTGTTCTCACAATGAAACGTGACACACTGAAATACAGATTACAATCACTTTAAAACCTTAAATACTGATGTTTTTCACTCACTCTTTAGTCCAAGAGAAGACCCTTACTTTAAAATAACCTCCTCTCCATTATAATATCTCTGTCTGTGTGCTTTCAGAGTGACGGATCAGCATCATGTGTCCCTCCTGGAAGTTGGAGAGCCTCCTGCAGAGAAGTCAAAACTGATGAGAGAACGAGCTCAAAGCTACCAGGAGGCGCTCAGACTGCAGGTGAACAAAACATATGATCTCATTACCATGACCTTCATATGAGATAACTGAACACACACACAACCAGAGAGGGCAGAAGTACACACATCCTTTCCACAAGTAGAAGTACAAATACTCGTGTTTAAAAATACTCTGGTGAAAGTAGAAGTACTGACTAAACTTCTTTACTCAAGTCAAAGTAAAGAGGCTTTGAAATGTACTTCAGTAAAAAGTACCCATAACTAGCAGCTGTTTTAAAGAGTACCTGACCTCCCTTTATATTAATAGAACAATAATGTCATTGTTAGCTAATGAATGTTTCCATGCTGAACAACGGCAACATGACAACGTTTTCATTGGTCCCTCTTCTTTAGAGAAGACCAGGAAATGATGGATACACGGATCGTGTTCAAATCAATAGGCACGCAATGACTCTAAAGAATAATGATCACGCCACCAAACACACATTCAAACTAAAGGAACCAGCCTGTTTGGGAAATGTAACAAGTAGAAAGTACAGGTATTTGAGTTCAACATGTAAGAAGTAGAAAGTACAGGTATTTGGGTTCAACATGTAAGAAGTAGAAAGTACAGGTATTTGGGTTCAACATGTAAGAAGTAGAAAGTACAGGTATTTGTGTTCAACATGTAAGAAGTAGAAAGTACAGGTATTTGTGTTCAACATGTAAGAAGTAGAAAGTACAGGTATTTGTGTTCAACATGTGAGAAGTAGAAAGTACAGGTATTTGTGTGCAACATGTAAGAAGTAGAAAGTACAGGTATTTGTGTTCAACATGTAAGAAGTAGAAAGTACAGGTATTTGGGTTCAACATGTAAGAAGTAGAAGTACAGGTATTTGTGTTCAACATGTAAGAAGTAGAAAGTACAGGTATTTGAGTTCAACATGTAAGAAGTAGAAAGTACAGTATTGGGTTCAACATGTAAGAAGTAGAAAGTACAGGTATTTGGGTTCAAAATGTGAGAAGTAGAAAGTACAGGTATTTGGGTTCAACATGTAAGAAGTAGAAAGTACAGGTATTTGGGTTCAACATGTAAGAAGTAGAAAGTACAGGTATTTGGGTTCAACATGTAAGAAGTAGAAAGTACAGGTATTTGGGTTCAACATGTAAGAAGTAGAAAGTACAGGTATTTGTGTTCAACATGTGAGAAGTAGAAAGTACAGGTATTTGTGTTCAACATGTAAGAAGTAGAAAGTACAGGTATTTGTGTTCAACATGTAAGAAGTCAAAGTAAAAAGTCGTCAGAAAAATAAGTAGTGGAGTAAAGTACTGGTACCAGGAAAATGTACTTAACAAAGTATTTGTACTCCAATACTTCCCACCTCTGCACTTTAGTGATAATCAAGGAGAGTTCCCTCTTCCAGGTGTTTTGAGGGTTTTTTAAGAGCCAAACTCTGAGGATGCAGAGGTCTCAGAAAGTGACTTTTAAAAACATCCTGCTTGGTCTCGTGTCCAGATCAGAGAAAGAGAGGATCAGAAAAGGAAAGAGAAAGAGGAGAAGGAGCGATACGAAGCCAAGATCGAGGCGGAGAGGATGGCCTTTAACCCCTGGGGGAGGAGTGGAGCAGGAGCACCAATCAAAGACCAGAAAGGAAACGTCGTCAGTAAGTTACCCTACACCTTTTATGTCTATAGATTTCTCCTAAATTAACCAAAAAGTTTGTTTGTTTTCAACCTCATTCGAGATCAGATAAGAAGTACTTTCTTGATCCCAATGTGGGAAATGTTGGCGTTGCAGCAGCATCAAAAGACAAGGCGTTGAACATTAGAGAAATTAAAAGACTGGAAATAAACAGTCAAAAAATGTAAACGTCTCAAATAGAAATAAAATAGCATTAAAAAAAACATGTGGAAATACACATTTACAGTTACAATGTAAGCAGGATATTATATAAACATTAATTGTGCAACGAATGGATTATTAAATATTAGATTGATTACAAAAGTACAGCGGGAGTTGAAGTTATCAGAGAAGCAGAGCGTTCTCTTCCAGAGGAGACTTGTTATATAGGCTTAGATAGATAGATAGATAGATCGTACTTTATTGATCCCAAATTGGGAAATTGTTTTTGTTACAGCAGCATAAAAGGCATTTTACAATAAAACAAAATATACAAGAATAGAAATAAAATAAAATAAAATATAAAATATACATGTCAAAATACAAAATAGAAAATATACATACAGATATTATATATATATATATATATATACAAATATATATATATTCAAAATATATGGAATTATGGAGTATTAAATATGAAACAGATTATGTGTGAGTAAAATGTACAAGGTGGTTTTATTTCTAGAGAAACTATGGAGCAGAGAGTTCTCTTCCAGCCAGAGGTGATTTGTTGTACAGAGTTATTGCAGTGGGCAGGAATGTTTTCCAGTATCTGTCCTTGTGACAGGGGAGCTGCAGCTGTCTGTAGGAGAAGGAGCTGCAGCAGTCTGTAGGAGAAGGAGCTGCAGCATTCTGTTGGAGAACGAGCTCCGCTGACTGTCCAGCTGCAGGTGGAGAGGATGGGTGGGGTTATCCATGATGGACAACAGCCTGTTCAGTGTCCTCCTCTCCACCACAGCTTCAAAGGGTTCCAGCTTGATGCCGATGACTGACCCAGCTTTCCTGATCAGTTTATTGATCCTGCTGGTGTCACCGGCTCTGATGCTGCCCCCCCAGCAGACCGCAGCAAAGAAGAGTGCACTAGCCACAACAGACTGATAGAAGATCTCCAGCATCTTACTGCATACGTTGAAGGATCTCAGCTTCCTCAGAAAATAGAGTCTGCTCATCCCCTTCTTGTACACAGCGTCAGTGTTGATCCTCCAGTTCAGCCCATTGTCTAAGTGCACTCCCAGGTACTTGTAGACCTCCACAACTGCCACATCCTCTCCCAGAATGCACAGGGGCAGAGGAGGAGATGTCCTCTTCTTCCTGAAATCAATGACCATCTCTCTGGTCTTGGCCACATTCAGAAGCAGATGATTTCTTCCAGTCCACTCAACAAAATCACCCACCAGCGCTCTGTACTCCTCCTCCCGTCCATCCCTTATACACCCTACCACTGCAGAGTCATCCGAAAACTTCTGCAGGTGGCATGACTCTGAGTTGTATAGAAAGTCAGAGGTGTATAAGGTGAACAGGAAAGGAGACAGCACAGTCCCCTGTGGGGCTCCAATACTACCAACCACCACATCAGACAGCACACTGCCCAGCCGGACGTACTGTGGTCTGTCCGTGAGGTAGTTGGTAATCCAGGAGATGGTGGACGAGTTTACCCTCATAGCCTGCAGCTTGTCACTCAGTAGCCGAGGCTGGATCGTGTTGAATGCACTGGAGAAATCAAAAAAGGTGATTCTCACAGTGCAACCCGATCCATTCAGGTATGAGTGAGCACGCTGCAGCAGGTAAATAATGGCATCGTCCACCCCCAGGTGAGGCTGGTAGGCAAATTGCAGAGGGTCAAGGAATGATCTCACCTGCGGTCTGAGATGGGCCAAGACCAGTCTCTCAAGCACCTTCATCACATGAGATGTGAGTGCTACAGGGCGATAGTCATTGAGCCCAGAAGGAGTTGTCTTTTTAGGGACCGGAACAACGCATGATGTCTTCCACAGCACCGGGATGGTCTCCAAGTGCTGGCTCAGGTTGAATATATACTGGAGAACAGGAGCCAGCTGGCGTGCACAGGTCCTCAGGACCCTGGGGCTGATACCATCAGGGCCAGCAGCCTTGCCTTGGTGGAGTTTTTCCATCTGACTCTGGACCTGTCCTGTGCTCACAGTGAAGCGGGGGGGGGGGGCTTGATGGCAGGGGGGATAGAGGGGGGGGGGGGGTCTGAGGCTAGATGAGCAGAGGGGGGGGGGGGGGGGTCAGCGGCAATGTGAGCAGAGGGGGGGTGCAGAAGCCAGGCTGGGTGGTGGAGGAGAGGTGTGAAGTGTAGGTGGTGAGCAGAGGGGGGATGTTGACGCCAGGCTGAGAGGAGGAGGTGAGGTGAGAAGAGGAAGTGGAGGAGACAGCAGCGGGCGGAGAGCTAAACCTATTGAAGAAGGTGTTCAGCTCGTTGGCCCTCTCCAGGGTGCCCACAGTCAGTCTGTCTCTCCCTTTGAAGCCAGTGATAGCCTTCATCCCAGCCCAGACATCCCTGCTATTGTTCTGCTGGAGCTTAGTCTCCAGCTTCTTCCTGTACGAATCTCTGCCCCTCCTCAAATTGTCTCTCAGTTGATGCTGGATACTCTTCAGCATTGATTTGTCCCCAGACTTAAAAGCTTCCTTTTTCTTATTTAAAAGAGTTTTCAGGTCACTAGTAATCCAGGGTTTATTATTGGGGAAACAGTTGACAGTTTTAGCCGGTAATATTGTTTGTTCACAGAAGTTGATGTATTCTGTGATGCAGTCAGTCATATTATTGATGTCCTCTCCATGTGGCACACAAAGCACGTCCCAGTCAGTGGTCTCGAAGCAGTCCTGTAGAGCCTCATTAGCCCCTGGAGTCCATTTCCTCACAGTCCTGGTGGATACAGGCTGCCTCTGCACCAGAGGGACATATTTAGGAGCCAAAAAGACGAGGTTGTGGTCAGATCTGCCCAGGGGGGGGGAGGGCAGTGGCACAATATGCATTCTTGGTATTTGCATATAGAAGATCCAGAGTATTATTTCCCCTGGTGGGGCATTTCACATACTGAGTGAATGTAGGCAGAGATTTGTCCAGTTTTGCACGGTTAAAATCCCCAGTTATTGTTATGAATGCATTTGGGTGAAGAGTTTGGAGTTTGGCCACAGAGGAGTGAATGACGTCACCAGCCACCTCCGCGTCCGCGTTCGGTGGAATATAGACAGCAACTACGATGACAGAATAAAGTTCTCTAGGTAGATAAAATGGACGTAATCCCACAGCTAGCAGTTCAATGTCCGGGCTACAGAAACGCTCCTTCACAGTAACATGTCCAGGATTACACCATCGTTCGTTCACATACAGTGCAATCCCTCCTCCTTTCTTTTTACCGCTCAGAATAACGTCCCTGTCCGCCCGAACACTCGTGAAGCCGGGGAGAGCCGTGTTATTATCCGGGATGAGCGAGTGCAACCAAGTCTCGGTAAAACACATGATGCTACACTCACGGTATTCCCACTGCGTCTTCGTCAGCACGCGGAGCTCGTCCATCTTATTCCCCAAAGACCTCACGTTCCCCATTATGATGGCCGGTACACAGGGTTTGTACCTCATCTTCTTCTTCATCCTCAGCTTGGCCCCAGCTCTGCAGCCACGCTTGAGCCTCCGAAGCTCCTCCGGGATGTCATGCCTGGCTCCGGGCAGCAGCACGGGTCGGCACAGCGCAATCAGCTGCTCACGCGTGTAACAATGCCATCACTCCTCTGAGCATGGCTCTCCGACACAAAAAGTGAAAAAAGTAGCAGAAGAATGACCAGAAAACGTTCGAAGTAAAACGTGGCCATAGTTCGCTGCAAAACAAAATAAATATCCAAAGAAAAAAGTACAACTAAGAGAATAAAAGTAAACAAAAAGACAAAGATCAATAAAACACCGGGAGCTGCATGCAACAGGCAGCCACCAGCACGGCGCCTTACGCAAAGAGATACTTTTAAATAAATACTTTTACCACAAGTTAACGTCATTATAAACTGTTCGATGTCGTCAGGTGACCTGAAGCACATGCACAGAGCCCAGGAGGACTGCAGGAGTCCAGTCTCCAGGGACAGTGGACACACACAGAGTTTCCTGATGGAGAAAGGAGACGCTTCTCCTCCAGCTGAACCCCGATCTCCAGCCAAACATCGACTCTCAGGTGGCTTCACTTTCCCCGGGGTGTGCTCTTCTCCATGCCTTGATTCAGTAGCTTTATCTCAATGCTTTTGGACTCACGTCTCACCTGTTCTCCAGGTCTGAGGTCTGAGGACCCGACTCCAGAGAAGCTCCACATTCAGGACAGATACAAAGAGGAGCTGATTCAGCAGGTAGGAGATGCTCTGAAAACACGAGATACTCATATCAACAACACACTAGATACTCATATCAACAACACACTAGATACTCATATCAACAACACATTAGATACTCATATCAACAACACACTAGATACTCATATCAACAACACACTAGATACTCATATCAACAACACATTAGATACTCATATCAACAACACACTAGATACTCATATCAACAACACATTAGATACTCATATCAACAACACATTAGATACTCATATCAACAACACACTAGATACTCATATCAACAACACACTAGATACTCATATCAACAACACATTAGATACTCATATCAACAACACACTAGATACTCATATCAACAACACATTAGATACTCATATCAACAACACACTAGATACTCATATCAACAACACACTAGATACTCATATCAACAACACATTAGATACTCATATCAACAACACACGAGATACTCATATCAACAACACATTAGATACTCATATCAACAACACATTAGATACTCATATCAACAACACACGAGATACTCATATCAACAACACACTAGATACTCATATCAACAACACACTAGATACTCATATCAACAACACACTAGATACTCATATCAACAACACATATACTCATATCAACAACACACGAATACTCATATCAACAACACACTAGATACTCATATCAACAACACATAGATACTCATATCAACAACACATAGATACTCATATCAACAACACACTAGATACTCATATCAACAACACATTAGATACTCATATCAACAACACAGATACTCATATCAACAACACACTAGATACTCATATCAACAACACATTAGATACTCATATCAACAACACACTAGATACAGGAGGAGGAGCAGTACATCACGTATGAAGGAGCAGTACATCACATATGAAGGAGCAGTACATCACGTATGAAGGAGCAGTACATCACGTATGAAGGAGCAGTACATCACGTATGAAGGAGCGTACCCTCACGTATGAAGGAGCAGTACATCACATATGAAGGAGCAGTACATCACGTATGAAGGAGCAGTACATCACGTATGAAGGAGCAGTACATCACGTATGAAGGAGCAGTACATCACGTATGAAGGAGCAGTACATCACATATGAAGGAGCAGTACATCACGTATGAAGGAGCAGTACATCACATATGAAGGAGCAGTACATCACGTATGAAGGAGCAGTACATCACGTATGAAGGAGCAGTACATCACGTATGAAGGAGCAGTACATCACATATGAAGGAGCAGTACATCACATATGAAGGAGCAGTACATCACGTATGAAGGAGCAGTCATCACGTATGAAGGAGCAGTTACATCACGTATGAAGGAGCAGTACATCACATATGAAGGAGCAGTACATCACATATGAAGGAGCAGTACATCACGTATGAAGGAGCAGTACATCACGTATGAAGGAGCAGTAATCACGATGAGGAGCAGTACTCACTATGAAGGAGCAGTACATCACGTATGAAGGAGCAGTACATCACAGTATGAAGGAGCAGACATCACATATGAAGGGCAGGAAGGGCGTACATCACATATGAAGGAGCCAGTACATCACATATGAAGGAGCAGTACATCACGTATGAAGGCGCGTCAGTACACAATATGAAGAGCAGTACATCACGTATGAAGGAGCAGTACATCACATTAATGAAGGAGCAGTACATCAACATATGAAGGAGAAGTACATCACATATGAAGGAGCAGTACATCACATATGAAGGAGAAGTACATCACATATGAAGGAGCAGTACATCACATATGAAGGAGCAGTACATCACATATGAAGGAGAGTACATCACGTATGAAGGAGCAGTACATCACATATGAAGGAGCAGTACATCACAGTATGAAGGAGCAGTACACTCCATATGGAAGGAGCAGTACATCACATATGAAGGAGCAGTACATCACCTTATGAAGGAGCAGTACATCACATATGAAGGAGCAGTACATCACGTATGAAGGAGCAGTACACTCACATATGAAGGAGCAGTACATCACGTATGAAGGAGCAGTACATCACATATGAAGGAGCAGTACATCACATATGAAGGAGCAGTACAGTCACATATGAAGGAGCGTACATCACTATGAAGGAGCAGTACATCACAGTATGAAGGAGCAGTACATCACGTATGAAGGAGCAGTACCATCACGTATGAAGGAGCAGTACATCACATATGAAGGAGCAGTACATCACATATGAAGGAAGCAGTACTCACGTATGAAGGAGCAGTACATCACATATGAGGAGCAGTACATCATGAAAAGGAAGTGAAGCAAAGTGATGTGCTCTCTGATGGTAGGTAAAGCCAGAGGAGCGTCTCCTCCAATCCCAGCCGTCCAGAGGAGGCTGGAGGAAATAGCGATCAATCAGAGAAAATATAAGGAGGAAGAGGAGAGGAGGCTGGAGGAAGAGAGACCTGGACTAAAGAGGGGATGTGAGGAAGAGGAGAAGAGCCAACAGAAGGTGTTCATATCATAAATAATGTGTGGTCCATTCATGGTGAAAGTTAAAAGAGATGGTTACTTGGGTTATCTGTTCTTTACAGACTCTCTAACTAACCCTGACCCATCACCGCTAAATAGGATTCATGTTTGTTATATTAAGTGGCTCCATCATCTCTTCTTTCTGCAGCAAAGAGAAACAAAAACCAGGGTCCATGAAGTTCAGACCCCCCAGGAGGAGGCGCAGAAAGAGGCTCCGAGGACCTACGAGGTACAGAACAGATTAGAAATCACAGGTGCACAGTACATCACGTATGAAGGAGCAGTACATCACGTATGAAGGAGCAGTACATCACATATGAAGGAGCAGTACATCACGTATGAAGGAGCAGTACATCACGTATGAAGGAGCAGTACATCACATATGAAGGAGCAGTACATCACGTATGAAGGAGCAGTACATCACGTATGAAGGAGCAGTACATCACGTATGAAGGAGCAGTACATCACGTATGAAGGAGCAGTACATCACATATGAAGGAGCAGTACATCACATATGAAGGAGCAGTACATCACGTATGAAGGAGCAGTACATCACGTATGAAGGAGCAGTACATCACATATGAAGGAGCAGTACATCACGTATGAAGGAGCAGTACATCACGTATGAAGGAGCAGTACATCACGTATGAAGGAGCAGTAACATCACGTATGAAGGAGCAGTACATCACGTAATGAAGGAGCAGTACATCACGTATGAAGGAGCAGTACATCACGTATGAAGGAGCAGTACATCACATATGAAGGAGCAGTACATCACGTATGAAGGAGCAGTACATCACGTATGAAGGAGCAGTACATCACGTATGAAGGAGCAGTACATCACGTATGAAGGAGCAGTACATCACGTATGAAGGAGCAGTACATCACGTATGAAGGAGCAGTACATCACATATGAAGAGCAGCAGTACATCACATATGAAGGAGCAGTACATCACGTATGAAGGAGCAGTACATCACATATGAAGGAGCAGTACATCACGTATGAAGGAGCAGTACATCACGTATGAAGGAGCAGTACATCACATATGAAGGAGCAGTACATCACGTATGAAGGAGCAGTACATCACATATGAAGGAGCAGTACATCACATATGAAGGAGCAGTACATCACGTATGAAGGAGCAGTACATCACGTATGAAGGAGCAGTACATCACGTATGAAGGAGCAGTACATCACGTATGAAGGAGCAGTACATCACATATGAAGGAGCAGTACATCACGTGTATGAAGGAGCAGTACATCACGTATGAAGGAGCAGTACATCACGTATGAAGGAGCAGTACATCACATATGAAGGAGCAGTACATCACGTATGAAGGAGCAGTACATCACGTATGAAGGAGCAGTACATCACGTATGAAGGAGCAGTACATCACGTATGAAGGAGCAGTACATCACATATGAAGGAGCAGTACATCACGTATGAAGGAGCAGTACATCACGTATGAAGGAGCAGTACATCACATATGAAGGAGCAGTACATCACGTATGAAGGAGCAGTACATCACATATGAAGGAGCAGTACATCACGTATGAAGGAGCAGTACATCACGTATGAAGGAGCAGTACATCACATAGGAAGGAGCAGTACATCACGTATGAAGGAGCAGTACATCACATATGAAGGAGCAGTACATCACGTATGAAGGAGCAGTACATCACGTATGAAGGAGCAGTACATCACATATGAAGGAGCAGTACATCACGTATGAAGGAGCAGTACATCACATATGAAGGAGCAGTACATCACGTATGAAGGAGCAGTACATCACATATGAAGGAGCAGTACATCATGAACAAGGAAGTGAAGCAAAGTGATGTGCTCTCTGATGGTAGGTAAAGCCCAGAGGAGCGTCTCCTCCAATCCCAGCCGTCCAGAGGAGGCTGGAGGAAATAGCGATCAATCAGAGAAAATATAAGGAGGAAGAGGAGAGGAGGCTGGAGGAAGAGAGACCTGGACTAAAGAGGGGATGTGAGGAAGAGGAGAAGAGCCAACAGAAGGTGTTCATATCATAAATAATGTGTGGTCCATTCATGGTGAAAGTTAAAAGAGATGGTTACTTGGGTTATCTGTTCTTTACAGACTCTCTAACTAACCCTGACCCATCACCGCTAAATAGGATTCATGTTTGTTATATTAAGTGGCTCCATCATCTCTTCTTTCTGCAGCAAAGAGAAACAAAAACCAGGGTCCATGAAGTTCAGACCCCCCAGGAGGAGGCGCAGAAAAGAGGCCTCCGAGGACCTACGAGGTACAGAACAGATTAGAAATCACAGGTGCACAGTACATCACGTATGAAGGAGCAGTACATCACGTATGAAGGAGCAGTACATCACATATGAAGGAGCAGTACATCACGTATGAAGGAGCAGTACATCACATATGAAGGAGCAGTACATCACGTATGAAGGAGCAGTACATCACGTATGAAGGAGCAGTACATCACGTATGAAGGAGCAGTACATCACATATGAAGGAGCAGTACATCACGTATGAAGGAGCAGTACATCACATATGAAGGAGCAGTACATCACATATGAAGGAGCAGTACATCACATATGAAGGAGCAGTACATCACATATGAAGGAGCAGTACATCACATATGAAGGAGCAGTACATCACGTATGAAGGAGCAGTACATCACGTATGAAGGAGCAGTACATCACGTATGAAGGAGCAGTACATCACGTATGAAGGAGCAGTACATCACATATGAAGGAGCAGTACATCACATATGAAGGAGCAGTACATCACATATGAAGGAGCAGTACATCACGTATGAAGGAGCAGTACATCACATATGAAGGAGCAGTACATCACATATGAAGGAGCAGTACATCACATATGAAGGAGCAGTACATCACATATGAAGGAGCAGTACATCACGTATGAAGGAGCAGTACATCACATATGAAGGAGCAGTACATCACGTATGAAGGAGCAGTACATCACGTATGAAGGAGCAGTACATCACATATGAAGGAGCAGTACATCACATATGAAGGAGCAGTACATCACATATGAAGGAGCAGTACATCACGTATGAAGGAGCAGTACATCACATATGAAGGAGCAGTACATCACATATGAAGGAGCAGTACATCACATATGAAGGAGCAGTACATCACGTATGAAGGAGCAGTACATCACGTATGAAGGAGGCAGTACATCACGTATGAAGGAGCAGTACATCACATATGAAGGAGCAGTACATCACGTATGAAGGAGCAGTACATCACGTATGAAGGAGCAGTACATCACATATGAAGGAGCAGTACATCACATATGAAGGAGCAGTACATCACGTATGAAGGAGCAGTACATCACATATGAAGGAGCAGTACATCACATATGAAGGAGCAGTACATCACATATGAAGGAGCAGTACATCACGTATGAAGGAGCAGTACATCACGTATGAAGGAGCAGTACATCACATATGAAGGAGCAGTACATCACGTATGAAGGAGCAGTACATCACGTATGAAGGAGCAGTACATCACGTATGAAGGAGCAGTACATCACGTATGAAGGAGCAGTACATCACGTATGAAGGAGCAGTACATCACGTATGAAGGAGCAGTACATCATGAACAAGGAAGTGAAGCAAAGTGATGTGCTCTCTGATGGTAGGTAAAGCCCAGAGGAGCGTCTCCTCCAATCCCAGCCGTCCAGAGGAGGATGGAGAACATGGAGGAGAGCCCCGTCACATCTGTGAGATCACATTTATTCATTCATCACAGAGTGGGACTTTGTTATCATCTTCACAGGATTCAAAATGCACATGCGTCCTGATCACTCCTTAATGTTCCTAATGTTCCTACTTTTGACTGTTTCCTTTCGGACAGACAAACTTAAGATGTACGATTACTATGTCTTGAAAAAACACTTGCTGCCAAATGTCAATCAAAAATATTTTACAAAATGCACATTATTTCCACCACAGGACCGCTCGGTGTCTGCACCTCACTTCCAGCCGACTGCAGAAACACCTCCGCTAGAAGGTGAGATTACACTTTCTTATTATCATGACTCCATGCTTTTTAAACCATGACTTGTCCCCTAAACCCTTGTCCCCTAAACCCTTGTCCCCTAAACCCTTGTCCCTTTGGTCCTCCAGAGGGTCAGCAGGAGGTGATGAGGGGGCTTTCTGCTCTAAAGAGCATGCTGAGGGACCGGCAGAGACACCTGGAGCTTCAGCTGGAGCAGATCGAGCGCCAGGAGCCTCTCTACGTGCCCTCCAGAGGGTACTCACATCCATCAGAATACATTTCATTTAGACAGCACACTTTAAAACAACGTGGTCTCACGGTGCTTCACAATGCTACACAATACAAAGTTATAAGGAGCATATTGAATGAAATATGGTAAGATAAAAAAAGGTTAAGAGCATAAAAGGACAGTCAGTAAGACGCGATATATTAGATATTATTGATCTAATATATGAGATATTATTGATCTAATATATCAGATATTATTGATCTAATATATGAGATATTATTGATCTAATATATCAGATATTATTGATCTAATATATGAGATATTATTGATCTAATATATCAGATATTATTGATCTAATATATGAGATATTATTGATCTAATATATGAGATATTATTGATCTAATATATCAGATATTATTGATCTAATATATCAGATATTATTCATCTAATATATCGTATTCCAATGACTTGTATTATCACTCTATAACCATAATACGTCACATAGTGTATCTGTTCATTTGGGCTGTCTTTTCAAACTAAAGTGGTCTTCACGTCCTCTAGTGGACAGACTGTAACCTTTACAAATAAAATAAAACAATTCTAAATTGCAAGATGTTTTTTTTTTTAACCCTAAATATGTAGGAAATAAAAAAGAAAGAAAATGGTAAACCCCAGGAGGTTCCCAGGAGGTTCCCAGGAGGTTCCCAGGAGGATCTGGACTCTTCTTCATGGGTTTATTGTGTTGCTCTGTTGGAGCTGAAGCTGCTGAGCTCGTGCCCATTTCAATCTGAAGTCCTCTTTGTCCTCAGACCCAGAAGAAGACCCAGAGTCCAGGCTTTTGAATCGGCTCGAGACAACATGCAGACCATCAGGGGGACAGACCAGTGGCAGCACAGAGGTACTGGTTATTAGACTGCTTTCTGTTGAAGAAGCCGTGTGTCCAGAAAACCAGAAAGAACCAGATCCGGTTTTCAACTTTTTTGAATGCTATTTTATTTGAGACGTTTACATTTTGGAATAGTTTACTCTAATGTGCAATGCCTTGCTATGCTGCTGCAACGCAAACATTTCCCTCATTTGGATCAATAAAGTCCTCGAGTGTGTGTGTGTGTGTGTGTGTGATGACTGTGTGTGTGTGTGTGTGATGACTGTATGTGTGTGTGTGTGTGTGTGATGACTGTGTGTGTGTGTGTGTGTGATGACTGTATGTGTGTGTGTGTGTGTGTGTGATGACTGTGTGTGTGTGTGTGATGACTGTATGTGTGTGTGTGTGTGTGTGTGATGACTGTGTGTGTGTGTGTGATGACTGTATGTGTGTGTGTGTGTGTGTGTGTAATGATGACTGTGTGTGTGTGTGTGTGTAATGATGACTGTGTGTGTGTGTAATGATGACTGTGTGTGTGTGTGTGTGTGTGTGTGTGTGTGTGTGTAATGATGACTGTGTGTGTGTGTGTGTAATGATGACTGTGTGTGTGTGTGTGTAATGATGACTGTGTGTGATGACGGTGTGTGTGTGTGTGTGTGTGTGATGACTGTGTGTGTGTGTGTGTGTGTGTGTATGTGTGTGTATGTGTGTGTGTGTGTGTAATGATGACTGTGTGTGTGTGTGTGTGTGTGTGTGTGTATGTGTGTGTATGTGTGTGTGTGTGTGTAATGATGACTGTGTGTGTGTGTGTGTGTGTGTGTGTGTGTGTGTGTTGTGTGATGTGTGTGTTGTGTGTGTGTTGTGTGTGTGTGTGTGTGTGTGTGTGTGTGTGTGTGTGTGTGTGTGTGTGTAATGATGACTGTGTGTGTGTAATGATGAATGTGTGTGTGTGTGTAATGATGACTGTGTGTGATGACGGTGTGTGTGTGTGTGTGATGACTGTATGTGTGTGTGTGTGTGTGTGTAATGATGACTGTGTGTGTGTGTGTAATGATGACTGTGTGTGTGTGTGTGTGTAATGACTGTGTGTGTGTGTAATGATGACTGTGTGTGTGTGTGTGTGTAATGACTGTGTGTGTGTGTGTGTAATGATGACTGTGTGTGTGTGTGTGTAATGATGACTGTGTGTGTGTGATGACTGTGTGTGATGACTGTGTGTGTGTGTGTGTGTGTGTGATGACTGTATGTGTGTGTGTGTGTGTGTGTAATGATGACTGTGTGTGTGTGTGATGACTGTGTGTGTGTGTGTGTGTGTGTGTGTGATGACTGTATGTGTGTGTGTGTGTGTGTGTGTGTGTGTAATGACGACTGTGTGTGTGTGTGATGACTGTGTGTGTGTGTGATGACTGTGTGTGTGTAATGACGACTGTGTGTGTGTGTGTGTGTGTAATGATGACTGTGTGTGTAATGATGACTGTTTGTGTGTGTGTCAGATGTTTACAGTGGGGATTCTTGTGAAGAGCGAGTCCATCATCTGAGGATCGCCCCCCGTCGGAGACCACACTGTGAAGTACGCTGCCTTCACTTTGAGTTTTACTGAAGTTCTACTAAAGTTGTCTGATTTTCAAACAGCTGATTTTCTCTCTGGTGTTCAGGCGGAGGATCAGAGAGAAACCAGTTTGAACCTCCAATCAAATGGCAGGAGGAAAAACCAGCAGAGACACGACGTCGGGGACCAATCAGGTGAGAGGAAACACTCACAGGGGTTTAAATATATGTGTTTTGAGGAGTGTCTCTGTATCTATCATTTCAGGACGGGCTTTCAGTAAAGCTTTGCCTTTAGATGTTACGGTACTATTCGATAAGTAGTAGGTCACCATGACCTTTGACCCCTAACCAATCAGTCCCCCTGCTATTTATGAAATGTTTTACTTTATTATTTGCCCAACTTGGCGCTATAATACATTTAGCCTATTATTATTATGCAGTGTGGAGAAATCCCTCACACCCTTTAAATGAGCTTTTCCTGCAATGTGGCTTCTAAAAAACTACAATTTTTTGCACATTTCAGACAAATACTTTCCTATAAAACATATCAAAGAAGTTGTATGAGGTCCTCCAGAGTGCATCAGAGGCACTCTGGAGGACCTCTGAGGCACTCTGGAGGACCTCAGAGGCACTCTGGAGGACCTCAGAGGTACTCTGATGCACTCTGGAGGACCTCTGAGGCACTCTGGAGGACCTCAGAGGCACTCTGGAGGACCTCTGAGGCACTCTGGAGGACCTCTGAGGCACTCTGGAGGACCTCAGAGGTACTCTGATGCACTCTGGAGGACCTCTGAGGCACTCTGGAGGACCTCAGAGGCACTCTGGAGGACCTCTGAGGCACTCTGGAGGACCTCTGAGGCACTCTGGAGGACCTCTGAGGCACTCTGGAGGACCTCAGAGGCACTCTGGAGGACCTCAGAGGCACTCTGATGCACTCTGGAGGACCTCTGAGGCACTCTGATGCACTCTGGAGGACCTCAGAGGCACTCTGGAGGACCTCATACTAACCTGTAAAACATCCCATAACTGTCTGTTTCCTGCAGAGCGGTGTGCAGTCACTTCTGTACATATATTTAACATGTTCATTCAAATGCTCAACGTTTTACTGTGATATCCTGTTTCAACAGTTATCACATTTTAAAACAGTTTGTATTATTATTTAAATGTTGTATTCTTATTTTGTCTTCATGTTGTCCCCTGAGTGAATCCTGTTATTTCTTAACTGCTGCTATAAACGCCTGCTTTTCCCCAAGAGGATAAATAAAGTTCCATCTTTTCTTATCTCATCAGATGAGGACCAGTTTTCTTTGCACTCTGTTGCCACGGAGGAATGGCTTCGCCCCACACTCTGAGCCTGCAGGAGCTGAACGTGTGTACCTGTGAACGTGTGTACCTGTGAACGTGTGTACCTGTGAACGTGTGTACCTGTGAACGTGCCGTACACACATGTTCTTTGTATGAATAAACCCTGCAGAGTGTTGTAATAAAACGTACCTTTCATGTCGTGTCTGAGAACAGTTCTGTAATTTAGAAATCACTGATTCCTTTTTCAAATGAGCCAAGTTCAAAAACTTTATTGACCTAGAACCTGATTAGGATGCCGGATGAAGTCTCGTACAGAAAGTCGTACATAATCTTTTTTGCGACATAGAAAACTTTACATTGCTGTTTCATATACATGTTGTTTTCTACAGGAACGCTTCCCATTCAAACTTAAAGCTAACGTCTTCTTCTCTATACAGATAGCTCTCCCCAAACCAAAGATTACATATATTATTAACTTCTGATTTTGTACACGAGTGAAACCTAAACATGGACTAGTGACTCGAAGCAGCTTTCATCAGCTCTGATCTGTCAGAAGCCCCAGTATCTAAATCAAATAAAAACCTAAAACATATAAAATGGAATAATTTAACCTTCACTTTCCGCTGACGAGGACAATCTGCAGAGAAATAAATTATCACAGAGTCTCCAGTGCATTCAGAGAGAGATCAAGTGCAGCAAATCCAGAGGAACCAAATAAAGAAAATAAATGAGATCTAGTGTTATCAGATTATATTACACAGCGTCTGTACAACTATTCCCCGGGAGCTAGCAGTGCTAACGTTAGCCTCCAGGACACACAGTCACTACGTCTGTCTTTTTGCATCGGACTGTCTTCTCCTTTAAATACAGTAAGAAGCACACGCTGTGGAAATATAGATCCTTCTGTCACAGAGCTGTTAGTCAGTAGTTAGTCCGACAGGACGTGTGTGTGTGTGTGTGTGTGTGTGTGTGTGAGAGTAAAGGCGTGTGTGTGTAGCAGCATCACTGTGCCTCTTCCTTTTCCTCCTCCTCCTCCTCTTCATCATGGGTCTCCGGCAGCTGAGCGATGTTGAAAACGATGCCAATTCGCAGATAGAACTTCCTGAGGACGGCCCTCAGCTCTGGGATCAGATCGAACTGCATGATCTCACACAGCAGGGGGTAATATCTGGACGCATGGGCTTTAAACTGTGAGGGGGGGACAGAGAAACACATCTTGTTTAAATACGAGCTATTCGGTTTCAAAAGCTGCAGAGCTCTATGGGGTAAACATCCTATTAACAACAACAACAACAACAATAATGTAATGTGGGTACAGTTCACACCATCACTGTTAAACCACAAATGTTCTCTAATGTTAATAAAACCCTTAATGTAACTGATTGGCATCCAGGCTCTGATTGGTGGGTTTTTACATGACACGACACGTCACTGTGATTCACTGAAGAGGAAGTCCTGCAGGTCTCTAGAGAGGAGCAAAGTCCTGCAGGTCACTAGAGAGGAGCAAAGTTCTGCAGGTCTCTAGAGAGGAGCAAAGTCCTGCAGGTCTCTAGAGAGGAGCAAAGTCCTGCAGGTCTCTAGAGAGGAGCAAAGTCCTGCAGGTCACTAGAGAGGAGCAAAGTCCTGCAGGACTCTAGAGAGGAGCAAAGTCCTGCAGGTCTCTAGAGAGGAGCAAAGTCCTGCAGGTCACTAGAGAGGAGCAAAGTCCTGCAGGACTCTAGAGAGGAGCAAAGTCCTGCAGGTCACTAGAGAGGAGCAAAGTCCTGCAGGTCACTAGAGAGGAGCAAAGTCCTGCAGGTCTCTAGAGAGGAGCAAAGTCCTGCAGGTCAGTACCATAGACTGTAAATATAAAGGTCAGTACCTTAGACTGTAAATATAAAGGTCAGTACCATAGACTGTAAATATAAAGGTCAGTACCATAGACTGTATATATAAAGGTCAGTACCTTAGACTGTAAATATAAAGGTCAGTACCATAGACTGTATATATAAAGGTCAGTACCATAGACTGTATATATAAAGGTCAGTACCTTAGACTGTAAATATAAAGGTCAGTACCTTAGACTGTATATATAAAGGTCAGTACCTTAGACTGTATATATAAAGGTCAGTACCATAGACTGTATATATAAAGGTCAGTACCATAGACTGTATATATAAAGGTCAGTACCATAGACTGTAAATATAAAGGTCAGTACCATAGACTGTAAATATAAAGGTCAGTACCATAGACTGTATATATAAAGGTCAGTACCATAGACTGTATATATAAAGGTCAGTACCATAGACTGTAAATATAAAGGTCAGTACCATAGACTGTATATATAAAGGTCAGTACCATAGACTGTAAATATAAAGGTCAGTACCATAGACTGTAAATATAAAGGTCAGTACCATAGACTGTATATATAAAGGTCAGTACCTTAGACTGTAAATATAAAGGTCAGTACCATAGACTGTATATATAAAGGTCAGTACCATAGACTGTATATATAAAGGTCAGTACCTTAGACTGTAAATATAAAGGTCAGTACCATAGACTGTATATATAAAGGTCAGTACCATAGACTGTAAATATAAAGGTCAGTACCATAGACTGTATATATAAAGGTCAGTACCATAGACTGTAAATATAAAGGTCAGTACCATAGACTGTATATATAAAGGTCAGTACCTTAGACTGTAAATATAAAGGTCAGTACCTTAGACTGTAAATATAAAGGTCAGTACCATAGACTGTATATATAAAGGTCAGTACCATAGACTGTATATATAAAGGTCAGTACCATAGACTGTATATATAAAGGTCAGTACCATAGACTGTATATATAAAGGTCAGTACCATAGACTGTATATATAAAGGTCAATACACAAACCAAACCACTGCTAACAGTTCACGCTCACATGAAACCAGAGCACAAGGCATGACTGACTTAAAGCTTTGAAGCGGGAGAACCGCCCAGTCTGTTATTTTTGGATATCTGACGAGGTTGTAAATGATGTTGTTTCTGTGTGTTCTTCCTCACCCTGTCGTCGCTGATCTTCATCACCTTGGTGAGGAAGAGGAGCAGCAGGTTGGTCCAGGCCTCTCTGTGGCTCTCTGACGTCAGAGACAGGAAGTACACTAAGGCCTCGCTGCACACACTGAAACACACACACACACACACACACACACACACACACACACACACACACACACACACACACACACACACACACACACACACACACACACACACACACACACACACACACACACACACACACACACACACACACACACACACACACACACACACACACACACACACACACACACACATTTATATCTACACTTATAGAGAACATGGAGGAAGTCATCGTGTAAAACTCGGACTACTTTTAAATCCAGGCTGAAGACTTTTCTTTTAATTGAACTATTCAAATCTCACACTGCACTGTAACTTTTATCTTTGTTATTCATGTTTGATTATCTTTGCTTTTAAATGAGTGTTTCTTCGTGCTCTTAATGTCTCTCGTTGTTGTAAAGCCCTTTGAATCGCCTCGTGCTGAAAGGTGCTATCCATAAACGTGCCATGCCTTGTAGGGTTAGGGGAGGATGTTGAAATAAATCCTGCTAAATATCAAAGTGTAAATAATTAACTGCAATCATAGTTTTACTGTATTTTATTGTGAAAATCCACAGCGGAGGTTTTACATTTTGCATTTCTCTCAGTAGCCAACGATCTTGGTGACATAAACTCCGTAATAAATGTAGTCTATATTTCATATGAGGTGTAAAACCTGAGCATTTTAAATCTCATCTGAAGGAAATGCTTGTAGAAGCTGTAGCTGTATTTGTATTGTTGAGTTAATGTGTGAACGAGGCGATATAGAGAAGGTTAAGCTGTCATTATTAGCCCTAAAGGATGTCGTTTTTGAGGTATGTTATGTATATTTCTTATCTCACCTGAGCAGGCGTCTCTGCACCTCGTCCCAGGCGTCGCTCCGGCTCGGGTCCTTGTACATCCTGAAGAGAATCCTCAGTCCACAGGCCAGAGAGCTGGTCTCCTGCTTCAGGAGGTTAGGCTTCGACTTCCCTTTGAACCCTGCACACACACACATACTTGTTATTCATCTATCATTGTTGGTAAAATCCTGAATGTCCTCCTCCAACATGAGAGTAGCATGCTAACTAAGGTATCCCAACTGTAGCTGTGAACATGACAGGATGTATGATTACCTAGAAGAGCATCAGGACTGTTTGAGGCATATGATAGCTATGTGATGAACATGATGATTCAGCCTCTATGGAGATAGACATATGACAAGCATGCTCATTTCTGACGTGGAGCTAATCTGAAGTAAACATTGAATACTGCTTTCTATTCCTCCATCTTGTGACTGTGTAACTCCCTCTCTTGGATATCAGCATGTGAAGGACACTGTTCAGGAACTAGTTGATGCTCTGTATGTGATGACTCCTTCCATTCTGGAGAGGATCACAGATACATGGATCCTGAGATTGAAGCTCAAGCCGGGGACCAGGGAGAGTTCCTAACAATCATTATATAATATTGATCCCCTACCGGCTCTCCACAGAACGGTCCTCTGCTCTGCGCTGGAGTTGAAATCCTTTGCGAAGTGATGTGACTCCAGAAGGCAGTCGAGAAGTTTGAACAGCTGATCTGAGGTCAGGTAGCGATACATGCCGGGGTCCTGAAGCTCGGGGGGGACGTCTGCTGCAGAGCAGGCATCACGCTGAACACACACACGCACGCACACGCACACACACACACACACACACACACACACACACACACACACACACACACACACACACACACACACACACACACACACACACACACACACACACACACACACACACACACACACACGAGTTACTACATGCTTTCATCACAGAGCACAGGACTAGAAGACAGAAACCTGATTTAAACACAACTAGGATAACATGAGTAATGAGTAAATGAGTAATTTGTTTGGCGTGGAGGACGAAGTGTGTGTGTGTGTGTGTGTGTGTGTGTGTGTGTGTGTGTGTGTGTGTGTGTGTGTGTGTGTGTGTGTGTGTGTGTGTGTGTGTGTGTGTGTGTGTGTGTGTGTGTGGTGTGTGTGTGTGGTGTGTGTTGTGTGTGTGGTGTGTGTGTGTGTGTGTGTGTGTGTGTGTGTGTGTGTGTGTGTGTGTGTGTGTGTGTGTGTGTGTGTGTGTGTGTGTGTGTGTGTGGTGTGTGTGGTGGTGTGTGTGTGTGTGGTGGTGTGTGGTGTGTGTGTGTGTGTGTGGTGTGTGTGTGTGTGTGTGTGTGTGTGTGCGTACCTGCGCAGCAGCAAGGTTCTCTGCGTCCTCCTTCCTGCTGGTGGCGGGGAAGAACACGATGTTGTCGATGGTCTGGATCAACTCCAGCTGAACCACACACTGTATCAGCAGAGAGGAGAAGAGGCGCTGCTCCTGGAGCTCTGAGGAGAGAACACACACACTGTGAGGACACACACACACACACTAACAGTGAGGATACACACACACACACACACACACACACACACACACACACACACACACACACACACACACACACACACACACACACACACACACACACACACACACACACACACACACACACACACACACACACACACACACACACACACACACACACACACACACACACACACACACACACACACACACACACACACACACTTACTGATGGGCGTGTTTCCGTACTGGCTCTGTCTGCGTGTTTCCATGGCGACCCGCTCGGCGCTGCTGACTGAGTTTTGGTCGTCTGAGCGGCTCTGGATGTCCAATGACTTCTGGGAAACGGAGTCCTAATTAGCAAAGGGGGCGGAGTTACTACTGTGTACAACAACAACAACAACAAATAGATGCATGCAATAGATGTAGGTTTCCTCACCAGCTGCTCTCCCTCTGCAGGTCTCCATGTTAACAGCCTGGGAAACAAACACTCAGTGAATCAGTGGAAACGACCCGAGTCTAATTACCTTTAGTTTATCTAAATACAAAAGCTTGACTAGTTTTCTTTATATCTCGTCTTCGTGCTGCAGGTCTTACGCGTGAGGGATGGTGGTCTTGAAGATGTCCAGCATGCAGGTGCAGGTTTTGTCCCAGGTCTCCAGAGTGAACTTCTCTCCGTTCAGGATCACAACGTTCTCCAGACAGTTGGTGCCGGAGCGAGCCAGCTGCTCGTTATCTGATGAAGAGATCATGAAGAAGAGGAGGAGCAGGGGGCGTTAAAACAGCTGAACTCAATGAAGAACCTTCCAGATCAAACACCAAAACATTTGACAATAAAAACCCAGAAAAAATGACAATAATAATATTTAATATTTTAAATCCCCAAAATATAAAGAAGAAGAAATGCATTTGTGTTTTTGAAGTAAAAATAGATGTTTTTAACGAACTTAGCTTCTAGACATGTTGTCCTTCTCTCCTGCCATAGTTTGTGCTTTAAATCATAACACTAGTGTATTGAGATGATATATTTTAATAATCCTCCGCACCAGCTGCTCGTTATCTGGCGAAGGTATCATGAAGACGTTAAAACATCACGATGCCTTTTATCTTTAAATGATGGCGTGTGTAAAGATGGTTTTATAATGTCTCACCCTTGCTGCACACACCAGTAGAGCTGCGACAGGATGTCGTCCAGCAGAACGTCGCTCAGAGAATCAAAGTACTGCGTGAAGACGTCACTGATGGCGTACAGCGCGTGATTACAGGTGGTCGTCATCCACTCTGCTTTCTGAGGGAAACACACAGAGAGAGGGGTTATAGAAACTGAGACGCAGAGAGAGAGGGGTTATAGAAACTGAGACGCAGAGAGAGAGGGGTTATAGAAACTGAGACGCAGAGAGAGAGGGGTTATAGAAACTGAGACGCAGAGAGAGAGGGGTTATAGAAACTGAGACGCAGAGAGAGAGGGGTTATAGAACTGAGACGCAGAGAGAGAGGGGTTATAGAAACTGAGACGCAGAGAGAGAGAGGTTATAGAAACTGAGACGCAGAGAGAGAGGGGTTATAGAAACTGAGACGCAGAGAGAGAGAGAGGTTATAGAAACTGAGACGCAGAGAGAGAGAGGTTATAGAAACTGAGACGCAGAGAGAGAGAGGGTTATAGAAACTGAGACGCAGAGAGAGAGGGGTTATAGAAACTGAGACGCAGAGAGAGAGGGGTTATAGAAACTGAGACGCAGAGAGAGAGGGGTTATAGAAACTGAGACGCAGAGAGAGAGGGGTTATAGAAACTGAGACGCAGAGAGAGAGGGGTTATAGAAACTGAGACGCAGAGAGAGAGGGGTTATAGAAACTGAGACGCAGAGAGAGAGGGGTTATAGAAACTGAGACGCAGAGAGAGAGGGGTTATAGAAACTGAGACGCAGAGAGAGAGGGGTTATAGAAACTGAGACGCAGAGAGAGAGGGGTTATAGAAACTGAGACGCAGAGAGAGAGGGGTTATAGAAACTGAGACGCAGAGAGGAGAGAGGGGTTATAGAAACTGGGACGCAGAGAGAGAGGGGTTATAGAAACTGAGACGCAGAGAGAGAGGGGTTATAGAAACTGAGACGCAGAGAGAGAGGGGTTATAGAAACTGAGACGCAGAGAGAGAGGGGTTATAGAAACTGAGACGCAGAGAGAGAGGGGTTATAGAAACTGAGACGCAGAGAGAGAGGGGTTATAGAAACTGAGACGCAGAGAGAGAGGGGTTATAGAAACTGAGACGCAGAGAGAGAGGGGTTATAGAAACTGAGACGCAGAGAGAGAGGGGTTATAGAAACTGAGACGCAGAGAGATCACGGTCAGGACGAACGGAGGCTTTCAAGACTTTACTGACTTTTTCTGAGACTTTTTAAACCTTTTGAGATTATTTTCAGATGTTTTTTTAGATTTAATTCAATCTTTTTTGAGACTCTTTTCACTGACGTTTCTGAGACTTTTGAAATACTTTTTTAAGACTTATTTTAGATTATTTTCAGATGTTTTTTTCAGACTTTATTCAATCTTGTTTCAGACTCTTTTTACCGAGGTTTTTAAGATTTCTTGAGACTTTTTAGAGATTATTTTCAAGCTCTTTTTAGAAATGTTTTATACTTTTTTAGACTCTATTTAAGACTTAAAGGCTTTTTCCCGACTGCTCTTCAGACTCCCTGCTCACCTCGGTCTGCTGCTCGGGGAGCTTCATGTTGTCGAAGATCCTGAAGACGATCCTGAACAGATCCTGCCACCAGTGTTTCTCAAAGGTGTGTCCGTACGTCTTCATCACCTCGAACATCACCGTCAGACCCCTGACACACACACACACACACACACACACACACACACACACACACACACACACACACACACACACACACACACACACACACACACACACACACACACACACACACACAGTTAAAACAAAACATGAAAATGCCTCCCCACATGTTGAACATTGATCTGAAGGTGGATGTGTACCTGGTGCGGACGTCCAGCTTGCACCTGTTGATGATGCAGGAGAGCTCGAACAGGATTGGAAACCATCCTCTGACCCAGACCCGGTCCTCAGGGTTCACGTTCATATCATCACTGGTGTAGTCTTTAAACGCCTGGAGAGGAAAACAGGTTAAACGCCTCTGAGAGAAATCAGAATCCCTTTATTAGTCCCACAGAGGGGAAATGTACATTGTTCCAGCAGAAAAGAGACAAAGACACCTAACACATCCGTGTATCCATCATTTCCTGGTCTTCTCTAAAGAAGAGGGACCAATGAAAACGTTGTCATGTTGCCGTTGTTCAGCATGGAAACATTCATTAGCTAACAATGACATTATTGTTCTATTAATATAAAGGGAGGTCAGGTACTCTTTAAAACAGCTGCTAGTTATGGGTACTTTTTACTGAAGTACATTTCAAAGCCTCTTTACTTTCACTTGAGTAAAGAAGTTTAGTCAGTACTTCTACTTTCACCAGAGTATTTTTAAACACGAGTATTTGTACTTCTACTTGAGGAAAGGATGTGAGTACTTTTGCCTCTCTGGTAATAGTCACACACACACACACACACACACACACACACACACACACACACACACACACACACACACACACACACACACACACACACACACACACACACACACACACACACACACACACACACACACACACACACACACACACACACACACACACACACACACACACACACACACACACACAGGTATCAGGTATGAATCTGACCTGTGGTCTGTCAGAGACGTATTTGGCGCAGTGTCTGATGAGGCGGATGCTCTCCATGCTCGTGTCGGGGAACGAGGCGTTGCAGGCGAACTCCGACAGACACTTCACGGCGTCCTGGAACGAGTCGATGGTCGCTGCAAGTGCTTCTCAAAAACATTCGCTGGGAGGGGAGGGTAAAGAAAGATTATAACAGAGAGATTAAATACAAATCTGTGTGTGTGTGTGTGTGTGTGTGTGTGTGTGTGTGTGTGTGTGTGTGTGTGTGTGTGTGTGTGTGTGTGTGTGTGTGTGTGTGACTCACTAACTATGTGTCCTGTTGTCTGGAAGGCGAGCTCCACGATGCTCTCGTCTTGGTCCGAGGCGGCGAGGTGGAAAACTGAGAAAATGTTTTTCCATCCGGAGCGAATGTTCGCCGCCTGGGAGTTCACCATCTGAGCTATACAGCGCACCACCATGTCTCTGATAGTGGGAGACCTGAGGAGGAAGAGGAGGAGTGAGGAGGAGAGGAAGAGGAGAGGAAGAGGAGAGGAGGAGAGGAAGAGGAGGAGAAGTTGAATTTGGCATCATGGTGAGTCAAAAGCTGAAATAAATATGCTAGATCTTAAGGCAGTGAAAACATGAGAAATGCTTTTTGGTTGCTCTGAGGAAGAGGAGGAGGAAGAGGAGGAGAGGAGGTGAAGAAGAGGAGGGACAGCGTGTCCTTGACTAAAAAGAAAGCTTTATTGGCAATAATCCCTGACGGAAATGAGCAAAAAGGAGGAAGAGGAGGTGAGGAAGAGGAGGGGATTCTGAACTGAGAGTATATATAGTTGTGTACCTGTTCTTCTTCATGATGTGTTCAAACGGCCTCAGGAAGTCTTTCTGGAACCTGAAGTTAGCGAGCTCTCCTTTCTCCAGAAACTTCATGGAGAGCTGCCGGAGAGAATCCACCGCGAAGATCGCCACGTCCTCGTTGGAGTTACAGCCCACCTGAGGGGAGAACAGGGAGAACACGTGAAAACAGGTCAAATACATACTTCATTATTTCATCTCTGTTATTTCTGAAGAGCAGGTTTCTTTCCTAGACTCTGGAGGAGCTCATTTTGCACTTTTAAGTCAACACACATTTGAACTCACAGCTTTGTGTCAAAATGTAAACCACTTTTTGTTATAAAAGCTGCTTGGTTTTTGCAACAGTCCCTGCAAATACACACAGCTTTATAATAACATGCAGTTCAAAACAGAGTTAACATGAAGTTATTAACATCTGTATGTCGATATTAAATGTCTCTTGTATGTGAATTGGGCCGTAGATGTTTGGTTTCTTTCTACACAATAATACTTTACACGATGCATATCTGTTGTTTGAAGACCCCACCTTGTTGAAGTGGTACGTTAATATGACACAGATATCTGTAGTTAATATGACACAGATATCTGTAGTTAATATGACACAGATATCTGTAGTTAATATGACACAGATATCTGTAGTTTGGACCCCACCTTGTTGAAATGGTACGTTAATATGACACATATCTGTAGTTTGGACCCCACCTTAGTGAAATGGTACGTTAATATGACACATATCTGTAGTTTGGACCCCCACCTTAGTGAAATGGTACGTTAATATGACACATATCTGTAGTTTGGACCCCCCACCTTGTTGAAATGGTACGTTAATATGACACATATCTGTAGTTTGGACCCCACCTTGTTGAAATGGTACGTTAATATGACACATATCTGTAGTTTGGACCCCCACCTTGTTGAAATGGTACGTTAATATGACACAGATATCTGTAGTTAATATGACACATATCTGTAGTTTGGACCCCCACCTTAGTGAAATGGTACGTTAATATGACACATATCTGTAGTTTGGACCCCACCTTGTTGAAATGGTACGTTAATATGACACATATCTGTAGTTTGGACCCCCACCTTGTTGAAATGGTACGTTAATATGACACATATCTGTAGTTTGGACCCCACCTTGTTGAAATGGTACGTTAATATGACACATATCTGTAGTTTGGACCCCCACCTTGTTGAAATGGTACGTTAATATGACACATATCTGTAGTTTGGACCCCCACCTTATTGAAGTGGTACGTTAATATGACACATATCTGTAGTTTGGACCCCACCTTGTTGAAATGGTACGTTAATATGACACATATCTGTAGTTTGGACCCCCACCTTATTGAAGTGGTACGTTAATATGACACATATCTGTAGTTTGGACCCCACCTTGTTGAAATGGTACGTTAATATGACACATATCTGTAGTTTGGACCCCCACCTTATTGAAATGGTACGTTAATATGACACATATCAGTTATTTGAGGACCCCCACCTTATTGAAGTGGTCTCCGATCACCTCCCAGATTCGGCTCCACTGCAGGCGGATTCGGCCCATGTTATAATAGGAGATCTCCACGATCTTCTGCAGGCTGAACATCCGGGGGTGAGTCGGAGAGGCCAGCTCGTCCATGGAGACGACGCACAGCCAGCGGACAAAATCCACTGAGGAGGGAGGGGGGGGGGGGGGGGGGGGGGAATCACATGTTAGAAGAGTAGAGAGAGGAGGGGGAAATATCACATGTTAGAGAGGAGAGAGGGGGGGGAGAAAAGTGATGCAAACCCATCAGGAATATGTTTTGAATAAACTCACCTATAGCGTTTCCGTCCAGCCGAGTGGAGCCGGTGAATATCCTGCAGAAGTAAATAAATATTATTTAAAGACACAAAGCATGGTCATGTTTACATACTGCATGTTAACTGCCTTACCATGTGTTTTAAAAGAGTTCAATCATTAATAAATGTTAACATTAATGAACTCCATTTATAGAAAACGTTTCATACAAGAGATGTTTCTTATATTGCTTTAAATGTTTTTAACAAAGGCTAAAAGACCATGAAATGCAACAATAAAAAGACAGTAGATTATAAAATATATAAAATAAAAACCCAGACCTGTATGTCAAAAGAAAATAATAATAAGATAGTTATTATTTTAAATACTAAAAGAAATAGAAGGAGAAGAAATGCATTTTATTTAAAATATGTGTTTTTTAAGTAATAAATAGATTTGACACCTTTTAAGTTAAACTCCTTAACGGTAACGTTTGCAGGAGAGTAGATTTCTTTTAGCTGGCTTTACTATATTTCCCAGACATTTTGTCCTTCTCTCTTGCCGTAGTTTGTGCTCTAAATCATGACTAACAGAGTTTATTGAGAACATATGATATTGATCCTCCTCACCGGTCCACAGCCACCACCACGCTCTGAGAGCTCGTCTCTCCGATGGACTCCTGGATGCTGGCGATCTGCTTCCTGTCCACCGTGCCTCCAACTGCACAATCAAGCACAACGTTAGAAAATATAAAGTCAAAGTCAACTTTATTGTCATATAAATATTCGACTCCCGGTATGGGAACTACATCAATAACCTTCTCTTTGTTCCGGGAACTACATCAATAACCTTCTCTTTGTTCCGGGAACTACATCAATAACCTTCTCTATGTTCCGGGAACTACATCAATAACCTTCTCTATGTTCCGGGAACTACATCAATAACCTTCTCTTTGTTCCGGGAACTACATCAATAAACCTTCTCTTTGTTCCGGGAACTACATCAATAACCTTCTCTATGTTCCGGGAACTACATCAATAACCTTCTCTATGTTCCGGGAACTACATCAATAACCTTCTCTATGTTCCGGGAACTACATCAATAACCTTCTCTTTGTTCCGGGAACTACAATCAATAACCTTCTCTATGTTCCGGGAACTACATCAATAACCTTCTCTATGTTCCGGGAACTACAATCAATAACCTTCTCTATGTTCCGGGAACTACATCAATAACCTTCTCTATGTTCCGGGAACTACATCAATAACCTTCTCTATGTTCCGGGAACTACATCAATAACCTTCTCTTTGTTCCGGGAACTACATCAATAACCTTCTCTTTGTTCCGGGAACTACATCAATAACCTTCTCTATGTTCCGGGAACTACATCAATAACCTTCTCTTTGTTCCGGGAACTACATCAATAACCTTCTCTTTGTTCCGGGAACTACATCAATAACCTTCTCTATGTTCCGGGAACTACATCAATAACCTTCTCTTTGTTCCGGGAACTACATCCATAACCTTCTCTATGTTCCGGGAACTACATCAATAACCTTCTCTATGTTCCGGGAACTACATCAATAACCTTCTCTATGTTCCGGGAACTACATCAATAACCTTCTCTATGTTCCGGGAACTACATCAATAACCTTCTCTATGTTCCGGGAACCACATCAATCAATAACCTTCTCTATGTTCCGGGAACCACATCCATCAATAACCTTCTCTTTGTTCCGGGAACCACATCCATCAATAACCTTCTCTATGTTCCGGGAACCACATCCATCAATAACCTTGTCTATGTTCCGGGAACTACATCCATCAATAACCTTCTCTTTGTTCCGGGAACTACATCCATCAATAACCTTCTCTATGTTCCGGGAACTACATCCATCAATAACCTTCTCTATGTTCCGGGAACTACATCAATAACCTTCTCTATGTTCCGGGAACTACATCAATAACCTTCTCTATGTTCCGGGAACTACATCAATAACCTTCTCTATGTTCCGGGAACTACATCAATAACCTTCTCTATGTTCCGGGAACTACATCAATAACCTTCTCTTTGTTCCGGGAACTACATCAATAACCTTCTCTATGTTCCGGGAACTACATCAATAACCTTCTCTATGTTCCGGGAACTACATCAATAACCTTCTCTATGTTCCGGGAACTACAATCAATAACCTTCTCTATGTTCCGGGAACTACATCAATAACCTTCTCTTTGTTCCGGGAACTACATCAATAACCTTCTCTATGTTCCGGGAACTACATCAATAACCTTCTCTTTGTTCCGGGAACTACATCCATAACCTTCTCTATGTTCCGGGAACTACATCAATAACCTTCTCTATGTTCCGGGAACTACATCAATAACCTTCTCTATGTTCCGGGAACTACATCAATCAATAACCTTCTCTATGTTCCGGGAACTACATCCATCAATAACCTTCTCTATGTTCCGGGAACTACATCCATCAATAACCTTCTCTTTGTTCCGGGAACTACATCCATCAATAACCTTCTCTTTGTTCCGGGAACTACATCCATCAATAACCTTCTCTATGTTCCGGGAACTACATCAATAACCTTCTCTATGTTCCGGGAACTACAATCAATAACCTTCTCTATGTTCCGGGAACTACATCAATAACCTTCTCTTTGTTCCGGGAACTACATCAATAACCTTCTCTATGTTCCGGGAACTACATCAATAACCTTCTCTATGTTCCGGGAACTACATCAATAACCTTCTCTTTGTTCCGGGAACTACATCAATAACCTTCTCTATGTTCCGGGAACTACATCAATAACCTTCTCTATGTTCCGGGAACTACATCAATAACCTTCTCTTTGTTCCGGGAACTACATCAATAACCTTCTCTATGTTCCGGGAACTACATCAATAACCTTCTCTATGTTCCGGGAACTACATCAATAACCTTCTCTTTGTTCCGGGAACTACATCAATAACCTTCTCTTTGTTCCGGGAACTACATCAATAACCTTCTCTTTGTTCCGGGAACTACATCAATTACCTTCTCTGTGTTCCGGGAACTACATCAATAACCTTCTCTGTGTTCCGGGAACTACATCAATAACCTTCTCTTTGTTCCGGGAACTACATCAATAACCTTCTCTGTGTTCCGGGAACTACATCAATAACCTTCTCTGTGTTCCGGGAACTACATCAATAACCTTCTCTGTGTTCCGGGAACTACATCAATAACCTTCTCTTTGTTCCGGAAACTACAATCAATAACCTTCTCTTGTTCCGGGAACTACATCAATAACCTTCTCTGTGTTCCGGGAACTACATCAATAACCTTCTCTGTGTTCCGGGAACTACATCAATAACCTTCTCTTTGTTCCGGGAACTACATCAATAACCTTCTCTTTGTTCCGGGAACTACATCAATAACCTTCTCTATGTTCCGGGAACTACATCAATAACCTTCTCTATGTTCCGGGAACTACATCAATAACCTTCTCTATGTTCCGGGAACTACATCAATAACCTTCTCTTTGTTCCGGGAACTACATCAATACCTTCTCTATGTTCCGGGAACTACATCAATAACCTTCTCTATGTTCCGGGAACTACATCAATAACCTTCTCTTTGTTCCGGGAACTACATCAATAACCTTCTCTATGTTCCGGGAACTACATCAATAACCTTCTCTATGTTCCGGGAACTACATCAATAACCTTCCTCTATGTTCCGGGAACTACATCAATAACCTTCTCTATGTTCCGGGAACTACATCAATAACCTTCTCTATGTTCCGGGAACTACATCAATAACCTTCTCTATGTTCCGGGAACTACATCAATAACCTTCTCTATGTTCCAGGAACTACATCAATAACCTTCTCTATGTTCCGGGAAGCGCCCTTCTTTTGTTCAACTGTTTGAATTTTTCAGTTTGTGTGAACAGACAGAGAGATCGAAAATACAAATGTATATACAAATATGTATAAAATATGTATATAAATATATATACACAATCAGACACATTTGTACATATGCACACATTAAAGACATAAATAAAAGCACAACAATCAATATCTACAAAATAACAGTCACTTCAAAAACTGTAAATAAAAAGTACATTAGTCCAAGAAAAAATCAGCTGCTTTTACAGCCGAGAAAATGAGTATTTTAGATCTAGTTACTACAGCTCCTTTAAAATAATCAGGACCGTGCTGAGACTTCAGACCTGCTCTATAACACCCCTTGTTGTTAAATACCAACTACGTGCAATATGTGCAATATATGCCGTTAATAACTGCAATATATACCTGGCTGCTAAATCCTCAGAACTGTTACAGGATGTGTTTATTGTATCTTTAATGTTTGTGTATGCTTCTAAGGTAACATGAAGCTGTCTTTGTCTCTTTTCTGCTGGAACAAATGTACATGTCCCCTCTGTGGGACGAGTACATGTATTCTGATTCTCTACAGCATTTATAGCTCCATGCTGACCCACATGTTGTGTTTATAAGTATATCATATATATATATATATATATATATATACTAACCCAGGCCCAGGTACTCGTCGTTGCTCTGCTCCTTGGTGCTGGTGATGAACCCGTCTTTACTCCTCACTGTGCCGGAGATGTATCTGGCTTTCACCCCTGTGCCGATCAGCTGAGCCAGCTCCAGCTGACTGATGCACTTCATGATCTGAGACGGGACATTCAGAGGAAAGGCATGAAGAAAAGGGATAGACACAGACAAGTGGAAGAAGGGGGCATTAGGAGAATCAATAACTCTGAGTAGCTGCTGTGAAATGAAATCTATCTAAATATATAGATATGAAGATGTACCTCGTGCCAGGAGTTTCCCAGGTAGTTCCCGTCGGTGTGAGCCACAGTGATGAGAGTCTTTATGGTGTCGATGTTCTTCTGCTTCATCTCAGAAATCCCAGAACTGGCCGTCAACAACGTGAACCTCGCCAGCGCCTGAACGTACGCATCGCGCTCCAGCTGAGAGACACAGGAAGAGGGAAATACTGGAGTTTAACAGCTGATAAGTCACATTTGTCTGCGAGTGCAACTGATTAACACCAAGCTCTGATAACATAAAGACACAGACGTGGGTCTTAAAATACAACAAGGACTCCTCTGTCCCTAAGTCTGAAGAGGGGGAGCTAGGAAGAGACGCTGGTGAAGGAAACGAGGAGGCTAAACAACGTTTTTCTAACACCTCCTCCCTCTGCAGGTATCTCACCTGGATGCAGAAGATACAGGCGATCCGGATAGCGAATCGGATTCCCTCCAAACACAAAGAAGCCACTTCAGTATCGTCACAATCCTGAAGACCCACGCTGAACGCAGCCAGGAAGGGGGTCCACGCCAGCTGAGGAGAGAGAGGAGAGGGTGAGAGAGAGTGTGAGTGTGTGTGTGGGGAGAGAGAGGGAGTGTGTGTGAGAGTGTGTGTGTCTGTGTGTGTGTACCTTGAACATGGGTCTCACGTGCTCCAGGTGAGTAGCACTAGTGAACGGAGCCTGAACGTGGCTCACTGCCTCCATCAGAGCTTTGGCTGTCTTCGCCATCTGCTCCATCTCCACGTTATAAAGAAGACGCCTCTGCTTCTCACTGGCAACAC